CGGGAGTTTGGGGCCTGAAACTTCCGGAAAGGGTACTCCCACGCGTGCTTCGCGGACAGGTCCACATCGACTTCTATATCGACGATGCAGGGTTTCTGGTGTTCTCGGGATCTTAGCTAGTGGGTAAACCTTTTAACATTCCTGAAGCCTGGAAGGACCCAATACCTCCCTACAGGACCCTAAACCCTATTCAAAAGAACCCCAAACCATTACGAACCGAGTTGGCGGTTCGGTTCGGCAGGTTCGCGGTTCGCGGTTCCTAAACCGGTATTGCGGTTCCAGCGGTTCCTGAGGAATCGGTTCCGGTTCGCGGTTCCAGTTCGGTTCGTTACCTTTCATGCAAGAAAGGAACTACTTAGGGGCCTATGGGTAAACACGGTTCAGCGCTACAGCCTGCACCGAATCGGAACCACTCGGGGAGTTTCAGAACTGAGGCCCCGCACTTTGGACCCTGAATAAGACAAGCCAAGACAGAGAAGGACCCTTAATGCCCCAAACTTACGGTTTAGGGTTCAGGGGCCGCGTTATGTTCGACAGCCCTATGCCTTCGGCCGCAACCCCAGGAATGCACCTGAACCCGGACACTCTTCCAAAGAGACAGGTCAAGGTGGAGTTGGGTGTTGGTTGATAGGAAGTTTGGATGCGCTTGTGATGAATTTTTGCTTGACTTTCAGAGGACTTGTTCATGAGCTGCCAAGGGTGTCGCACTTATTGCTCTGGGCTTTGAAAGAGTTGTATGGGAGCCCTTGATGCAGCTCTACACCTGTATTGCAAGGGTAGTTTCGCATCATCTCTGGTCCCTAAACCCTAAACCCTCTTCCCTAAACCCTAAACACCAAACCCCACGCAAAAAAAACAACCCTCTTGAGGAGCCCGGGCCCAGGCCCTAGGCTAAGCCGCAAACCCCTGCAGGTGCCGGCGCAGAGATTCAGCAGGAAGACTCGTCACAGCTGGAATCTGAAGAGCTGCTGCCAATACGGATCCTGAGTCCGGCGGGCGAGGCGGAAAGGGTTTAGGGTTTCGGTGCTGAGAGGATCAGGCTTTGGATTTAGGCTCGGAGAGGGTTTTATACCCCCCGAAAGCTATATGCCAATTCTCAATGCCCCATACTTTGAGCATGTTCCCAGGTCGTTCTTGAGGAAGAGCTGCCTGGAAGAAGAACTGTAAGGTCGGTGCTGCAGAGCCTTTCCACGGGAGCCCGCGGAAGCCTCACTCTGTTACTCGGCCAATCTTAGTGGTTTGGGGTTTTAGGGTTTAGGGGTTTTGGGTTTAGGGTTATCTTCGGAACCCTTTTTTGCCTTTTGTGGTTCGGGTTTTCTGATGGTTTAAAAAGGGAGGCCATAAGAAGTAGCTTGTTTTCCTTCCGTCCCAAACAGGGGCCAAGGCTACATGGCACGGAGGTGGTCCCGCCCGGCCGCAAGCTCTCGGAGTTAAAGATCACGGAAGAAGACAATTTCTGCCTTGTCAGAAAGTCCATTACCAGCTACACCCACTTGGCGGCGACGGAGCCCGAATTTCGCCTGGTGAAGTGCATTCTGATAGGAGGCCCAGAGACTGGCAAGACGTCCTGGATGCAAGGATTCTGCCGCGAAGGTTTTCCCCAGCAATATCGGCCAACGACAGGCGTGAAGTTCAAGGTCTTTCCGATGCAGTCCGAGGACGGATCGAAGCTGAAAGTACAGCTTTGGGACACTGCAGGGAACCTACCAGTCTCGAACGCATTCTACCGGGGGGCGTCTGGGTTTATAGTATTCTTCTCATTGCAATGTCGCCGGACCTTCAACACAGCCATCTGCATGTTGGCTGAAGCCATAAGATTGTATCCTGAGTGCAGCCGGTGTATATGTCTGGTGGCCACACACGCAGACGTTCCAGATCCGGACGTGACAGAAGAACAGGCCGAACGCTTTGCAAATCAAAAGGGGTGGCCCTTCTTTGCCATCTCGAACAATTCTGAACCTTTTGATGCCCCCCTCTTTGCCTTGCTAGATCTTGTTATGATGAACCAGGACGAGCAGGCCAGTCACTCAAACCCCCCGTTCATTCAGTAGGGTTTCGACTATGACTACTTTAAGTCAATCCCTGGAAAGCCCGATAGACAAATTAAGACCTCAGCCTGACAGCTCTCAGAGCAAGTCAAGTGAATCTTCGTGACGACCTATGACAAGCTGCGGAAAATAGTGATGCAGAAGCTTTTGAGACCGAGGAACGAACTAAGCCGCACACACGCAGAGCAGAAGCACTCTAGCACGCCCATGCAGTTATACACGCCCACACACACACTCACACACACATGTTTCTCGCTCACGCACGACCCCACCTGCACGCACGCGCGCACGCGCACACACACACACACAAACAGACACAGACACAGACACAGACAAAGACACACACAAGCAAAAAACACACACACACACACACCCGGACACCCGCACACACACACACACACATGCATTCTCTATGTCTCTCTCTTCTGTCTGTCGGACAGACTGACGGACAGACAGACAGTCCGACGGACACTATCGACATAGGGAGAACACTAAACAACCCGCACTGGAATCGTATCACGAAGCTCTATAAAACCGTATTCAACCAGCCCGAGACCCGAAAGCCTCGATAGAACCCTGGACTCCTGGAAAGCCCCATCATTCCTAAACCCTAAACCTTAAACTTAAGACGTAATTGCCGATGGCAATGTTCCGATATACTAAATTAGTTATTTACATTTAAAATACATACGAATCACTATGTTTTCCAAAATACGAACCGGTTGTAAAAAAAAAGTAAAAAATAGTAAAAAAGTAGTAAAAAAATAGGCTCCAAAAATAGGAGAAATAGGAAAACATGGATAGGAACAAAATAGGATAGGAAAAACATAGGAAAATAATACGAAAATCGGATTTGCCTACTATTTTTCCTATGTTTTTCGTATGTTTCTTGGTTTTCCCTAATTTTTTCCTATTTTTCTAGGGAAATAGGGAAAAATAGGAAAACACATAGGAAATCCTGCTTTGGCAGCCGATAGCAGAAAAGCACGAAAAAATAGGGAAAAAACATAGGAAAAATACAAGGCAAAGTTTATTTTCCTATTTTTCCTATTTTTTTCTTAGGAAAAAAAGTAACAAAATAGGAAAAAAATTAGGAAATCCTGCTTTGGCAGCCGATAGCAGAAAACTACAAAACAGAATAAGGGAAAAATCGGAAAAATAGTAGGAAAATCCTATTTTCCTATTATTTTCATATTTTTCCATTTTTTTCCTATTTTTTCCTATTTTTTCACATTTTTTCTCAATTTTTTCTTATGTTTCTAGGAAAAATAGGAAAAAACAACATAGGAAAATAATAGGAAGATAATAGGAAAATAGGATGTTCCTACTAGTTTTCCTATGTTTTTCCTATTTTTTCCTAGTTTTGGGACATCAATTCCTATTTTTCCGCTACCCGGATCTTATTTTTTTTTGTATTCGTATTTTGGATTCGTATGTTTTCCCATTTTTGGTGTATTTACTTTATTTTCAATTTGGCCGACCTTTCCATCTAATTTACGTCTTAACCTTAAACCCTAAACCCTGTAAAGACCCACAGCAAGCCCAACAGCAACCTCGAAGCTCGAAACCCTTGGAAGCCTCTAAAGCCCTACTTAAGCCCTCAAGCCTACAATCCTACACCCTGCGAGCCTAGAGTCCTAAACCCCTGATGCCTAAAATCCTAAGCCCGTAAAGCCTATAAGCCTAAGCCCCTGGGGCCCTAGAGCCCTAAACCCGAAACCCTAAAACCCTAAAGCCGTAAACCAGCCTTGTGTGAGTGTGTGAGTCGAAAGCCCTAAACCTTAACCCACCCCCGCCCCTCCAACAAAAACCAAAAAGAAAGACATTAAAAAACAAAACAGAAATTATCCTAAACCCCGAAGCCCCTAAGGACCCAAAGCCCGAAGAACTCAGGCTCCCACGCCCAAGCAGAGACCTTCGACCCCGGGAGGTGCATGGGGCTGTGTGTAAGGGTACAGGCCACGGGCTTTGAGGGCTCATAAGGACTCGTTGAGGGGGTTGTTAGAGGGTAAGAGGTAGTGTGTAAGGGTTTGAGGATGTAGGGGTGGAAGATTGAAGGTTTATGTGCGTCGGTTTTTTAAGAGTTAGAGGTTAAGGCGCTTAAGGTTTAGGGGTGTGAAGCCCTAACTTACGGCATGTGAAGGACTAAATGTTGGTCAGGGGCTCAGGGCTCGGGTTGCAGGGTTCAGGGTTTGGGGTTCGGATTTCTAGCGGTTTAGGCAATTTAGGGGTTCGACAAGGGGTGCTACCCAGGGGGTTGTGGCATGGGGGGTTCGAGTGTCGGGGTTCGGAGTTCAAGATCCCGGGAGACTGCCGGGTTGAGGGTTTAGTAAGTTTAGCAGCTGTTTTTTGTTTTTAGCCTTGAGGGTTTGAAGCTTCGAAGCCGCAGTCCGGGATCAGGGTTTCGCGTTTAGGGCTCGAGCGATCAGCAGAGCTTGGGTTCAACAATAGAGATGAAGGTTTCGGGTTTGGGGTTTACGGGCATCCGCGACAAGACCACACCTTGGAATTGACGAGTTGGAGTGACCGGTTGATTTTTCTGCAAGACCGTCCTTGGTGTTTGGGGCTTCAGGTTGTGGTTTCGGCTCCGGTATTTCAGTTTCTGTCCACTGATGTCACAGGAAGGGACCAGTGGTACCGAGTTCCTTGAAGTGCTGCAGTGTGCCCACACCTGACACAATAGCCGTGTTCCGAGAGAACATAAGAAACCGCAATGGACAAAAGATGTGCTGGTTTGGCGACTAGCAGGTGGTTGCAGCACCAACCGGATCGCAGTACTGTAGGTTTGCAAGGATTATGAGGGCTTGATAGGGCGAAGCGAAAAATGGGTCAAATCATGGGCGGCAGCACCTCCGCAAACACAGCTGTACCGGGAGTCGAAGACAGTGACGCCAGGCCCGGATACCCGGAAGGCGAGAGGAACCATTCAGATCCCCAAGATCTTCAGCTGTTCCCGATACGGATCTACACTCCGTCCGGTGATGTGCTTTTAGAGCAAAAGCTGCCTGGAGACAGAACCGTGCGGTCTATTTTGCAGACCCTCCACACGGAAAAACGTGGCAGACTCTCTCTGCTGCAAGGCACCGATGTAATCCCACAAGGCAAAAAGCTATCGCAGCTGCACCTCGCCGAAGATGAGGGCTTATGCCTGGTCAGAAGAGCCACAGGGCACTACACTTCTTGGGAAGGCAACGATTATGCGGAACATCATTCCGTAAAGATTCTTCTGGTTGGAGCAGCGAAAACCGGCAAGTCTACGTGGATGCTGGCCTTCGGCCGACATGGTTTTACTTCTCAGTATCAGCCGACCATCGGCGTCGAGTTCAAACTCTTGCGCCTTCAGTGTGAGGATGGGCTGCGGATGAAAATTGCGCTCTGGGATACTGCTGGGCAGCAATGCTTTCGGACAATCACAAATGCCTACTACGGAGGGTCCTCGGGAATCATGGCCTTCTTCTCACTACACAGTCGTGAGTCCCTGACCGAAGTCCTTCGAATGTTGGAGGAAGCAGAGGGGAGGCATCCCCTTTCCTGCCGATGCGTGTGCTTGGTTGGGACCCATGTAGACATTCCGGATCCTTAGTTCTCCACTACCCAACCTTTAAACTTTTGGGGTTTCTGATAATTTAGTATATAATAATCTGAAAATTTTATTTCCCTGGCTTGTTGGGGAAGTAAGGATCCTGAAGTGACACAAGAGGAGGCCGAGCAGCTTGCGCAACAGAAGGGCTGGCCCTTTTTTGCAACCTCGAGCAAATCTGGCGTCAACATTGATGACCCTCTATTCGGTTTGCTGGACATGGTTCTAGACGAAGTGCTTCGCCGATAAGAACCAAAAAGGCCGTCCTAAACAAACCTAAGAGAAGGTTTTCGTGCACTGGCAGCAGACCTCCGCAGACCTGTCTGGGTGTCACACTTCCGGTGGCACGCCGCAATCCCGGCGCAGGCTGCTCGCGCAAGCCTTTCGGACGAAGAGGAGAGTTTTGGGATGGCTTGAGGGTTCAGAACATCTAAGCCGACATAGTGCTTTGACCGTAGCCGTAGGCATACTTGGAGCACAGAGGGCGACTTGGCAATCAGTCTACCCAACCTGCGCTGTATAACATGTGGGCCAATTTCCGGGGGGTCCTACAATAAATCCTTCCCTTCAGGGTTCGATCTTCGAAAATAGAGGCACTTTTCGTGGGGTGGTTTGAACAGGGATCCTAAAGTTTAGATTCTGTAGTATTTGCGTGTATTTCCTGAAACTGCCACCTGAGTTGTCAAGTCCACCATGCTCCCTTTCAAGTAAGCTACAGACAGCAAGTATTTTATTCTGGGCTATGATTTATGTGGTGCGAGTATCACCCTCACCCTTTATGGTCCCTGCGTAGTCCGTCTTACTGTTAGTATGACGACTATGCTGCGATTACTATGACAATTATAATTATGGTTCTTATTTTTGATAGTAGTCTTGGTTTTATCGTTATCATCCATAGAATTAGTATTATTTTTTGGTATTTTTTGGCAGTGTTGGTATGATGTTAATGGTGTTTACTATTTTTCGTATTCACCATTCATTGTCATCACTAGTAGCCAAGCAGATGGTAGAACAGGCAGGCTGACAGAATCACGTGTTTCCTGTCTGTCCAGCCCTGTCCAGTCCATCCCAGTGCGCCTCAGTCACTCCAGTCCAGCACCCCCACTCCAGTCCACTCCACTCGATCGTCAGTCAGCGGTTGATATATCTAGTTTGCTTCTAGCAAAGTCTTGGTCGTCCCACTCTTTTGAAGTAGTTTGCTCTTCAAAAGTAGCAGGTATAGTTGAAAATTTATCTTCGGTAGATCGTGTGTGTGTGTGTGCTACCAATGCAGAGAGCTGTGGAAACTCAAGGTTCCCAAAGTACTGTCCTGTTGTATCATGCAGTACATGTCCGTACATCGTGTCTTGAGCTGAGAAGTCTGTGGGTTCTGCTGGAATGTGTTTTCCGCGTCATCTCGCGTCTTTCGACTCGGTCGTTTTAGCTGTAGTGAGTAAAGTCCGTCAAGTGTTTGAAGTTTGGGTTTCACATCCGCGGTGACCGCTTGCAAGTTCCGCCTGAAAGTATCCCAAGTGTTCATTCATGTTTGCATGTATATCTGTGGGTGGGTGTGTCTGTATATGTACGTATGTCTGTAACTGTACGTATGTATGTACCTCTGCATGCCTAGTTGGATCAACCATCTGCTTCTCTTGTACTACGTGGTTTTGCGTCACCGTGTCCCTGTCTGCGCCTGCGCAGACCCTGTAGACCCTAAGCCCAAAACTTGCACCCGATAGACCTCGCCTGGCATGTCCGAGTTGCGAGAACGTAAGCACTAAACCATAGCATCTATATTCAACCAGCAATAATATTATATAGGTATTGTACTATTTTTTGTTAAGAAAGCTACTATTACTGTGATAGGCATTATTACTATAATACTAGTTACTAATAATCATAAGCAATAGCATTACTATACTATTAACAATAGTTGCAGCATCATGGGCTCGCGGCTGAGCACTGCCTTGACCGCCGTTTTCACGGTCGAAGATGCGCAAGAAGATCCTCGAGATCCCGAAGTCTTCCCAGTGCAGTTCCCAGGTTATGCAGTGGTATGGTTTGTCCTTTTGGTGTTCTGCTTTAATGTAACCAACCAGCCGCATGCTCATTTTTTCGTGTTCCAGATAAATGAATTTACAAGGAAAAACAATCAAAAAAAATATGTATATATATATATATAATATGCATACACTTTTTCACAGGTGTGTTGCTGTAGAGCCGAGGATTTTGACCCCTGCTGGCGATGTGGTTTTCGAGGAGCAGGTGCGGGGAAGCAGAACCGTGAAATCCGTGCTGGAGTCCATCCGTGCAGGACCTGGTAAATTGTCGCTGCTACATGGTGGCAGAAAGGTTCTCCCGAGCGCGAAGATTTCAGACCTCAAGCTTGCCAAGGATGATTTTCTCTGCCTTGTCAAAAGAGCCACTGGCAACTACACTTCGTGGGAGGAAGACGGCATATTGGAGGTTTATTGCGATTGCATGGTGAAGTGTGTTCTTTTGGGAGCCGCACGTGCTGGAAAAACTTCGTGGTTACAGGCCGTGTGCCGGGAAGACATCGGCGACGCCTACAGAGCGACACTCGGCGTAGACTTCAAGCTAAAACGCTTGAAGTCCGAGGAAGGAACGAAGATCAAGCTACAGCTTCTGGGCTCTTGTTAAGGGATTTATTTTCAGCTATCATAACAAAGAAACCCCATTATTTACTATACATCCCTGTTATGACGATTTAAACTAAATCCCTTGTTTCGAACCCAGGCTTTGGGATGTTGCTGGTGAGCTGCGCTTTCGCCCAAACCTGTCGGTTTGCATAAAGGGAGCCTCAGGAATCCTGGGGTTCTTCTCCCTGGCACAAAGAGAGCCTCATTCTTTGTTAAGGAGTCTGGTTTAAGTTACCATGATGGGGTTGTATAGTAAATACCAGGGCTTCCTTATTATGATAACTTCAGTTAAATTCCTCAGAACCCAGGATACCATGACAGAAGTTATACGGATGTTGGATGAAATGGTGGCCAAGCACGGGGAGTGCTGCCGGTGTATTTGCTTAGTAGCCACGCATGCGGATGTTCCAGATCCTGCAGTGACAGAAGAAGAAGCCGAACAAATTGCAACAGAGAAGGGATGGCCCTTCTTTGCAGTGTCGACCAGATCCGAATTTGAACGCATTGACGAACCACTTTTTGCATGGCTCGACCTGGTCGCAGACGACATGGCTAGAGACCCGTGGCCTTAAGGCACAGCGCTAGTAGAGAAGATGTTTCACCCATAGTCCTCAGTCGATGGATTCCGCAGGTTTCAGACGCGGTGTGGCCATCTTGTGGTTTCGGGCCGTCGTTTTCACGATCACCATCCTAGCACTACCATCATCGCAGTTCTCGTCATGCTCGTCTGACATGTCATAATCTGAATGGTCAGCATAATAATTTATGATCCATCACGGACAGAAATATCAGTGAAGTCGCTCGACACCACGGCCAATCAGCATCACCACTATCATCATCTCATCACGAGGACCATTGCCGTGTTCACCGAACCGTGTGTTCGAGGGTTACACGAGGAGGCGGATCATCCGAAATCGTACGCCCGAAATCTTCTGACCGGCCCTCCAGTTTGAAGATGGTTTCAGAACGAGATGGAGCAATATGGGGGTCTGAACAAAGAGTAAGTCCTTGTACGTTATCACAGTCTGTAATCCGCACATCTTGGTTTGACTTCGATTATGACGATGATGATACAATGATAACTATTCTTTATTACGATTAATGACGATGATGATACACTGATATATAATAGCTATTACTCTATTACTAGTATGATGAAGATCATTACTATGATTGTGATGATTATTCTGCTGCTCTTACTGTACCGGTACTGTTAATCAACATTACTATAATTTATTGTTGTCAGTGATAAGGGACCTGTCTAAGCTAGTGTAGGATCCCGGGGTGCTGGCTCCTGGATGGTCACTGGTTGCGGGTCGCTTCGGAACTCACGTGCTGCGCACAGGTGTTGGGTTTCTGCCCGGATGCAATACTGGGTTCTGGTCAAGGGGCTTAGTTTAAGTTACCATAATAGGGATCAGTAGTAAATAATAGGGTTTCCTTATTATGGAAAATTAGATGAAATCAATTAAATCCCTTAACAAGAACCCAGAATAGTCTGGAAGTGCTTGCTTCCGAGCTGTTTGGCAGAGTCTGGGTTCAAAAAGGGTTGCCCGTGCTGGAAAGGTTCTATGCGCAGTTCTCTAAATTCGGGTCCCTTGTTCGGTCCCCGACAAGTAGTACGGCACCCTTATAAGAAGGGCCCTCAAAGGGCCCTGTTTTAGATAACTGCCCCTAGTATAGAGTTTTGCAGGATAATACTTGTACCCATAGTTTTTTCAATAGGGATCGGAATAATGGTAATCTCATATCATAGTAACTTCATGGTAAATGAATAATAACTCAAGAGTGACCATAGCAATAGTGGTGGTGATACTACTAAGAATAATTGTTTGCACTAATAATCATAATAATAATCATAGTAATAGTAATAATTAATACTAATAATGATACTAATAATAATAATAAGAGAATACCAATCGTAATTTAATGGTATTGGAATGTATTCATCGTCACGAGCAATCCCTAAACCCTAAACCCGACAATGCTTGCTGAGAGTAGCCAATGTGCTTCGTCTGGTACTCGGATCCTCGCCTGCTTGTCTAGTTGTGAGTGCTGAAACCCGAAACAGGGCCGGGGTTCCTTGGGCAGACCATCTCTTTGTTCTGCACGCATCGAAGCCGCGATCTCACAGAGAACCTCTAGGGTTTGCGGTTAAGTTTTAGGGTATACTGATTAAGGGCTTTAGGGGTTTAGGGTTTAGGATTTAGGGTTTAGGGTTCAAGTTTTAGGCCTTAAGGAGCTTCAGGGCGACGAGGCAAGCCCGCTGCTGCAAAAGGATTTAGGACGTAGGGTTTACGGAGGCAGGATGGAGGGGCTTGAGCACAGTGGTAAAATGGGTATTTATAGGGTTTGGGCTTTTTAGTCTGCTGATGGCAGAATCCAGATAGTGTCAGACTCATTGCGGCTGTTGCCATATCTGTTCTTGGTGCTGCTGTTCTGCGTTTTGACCTTGAGACCTTCAGCATGTGATCCCAAATCCTAGACCTTTGGAAACCCTAAGCCTTATCACTGACCGGCGGAGAAACCGCCAGAGCAGGCACCCCCCGGGTGCTCATCAACGGCACCCCGCGAGACAGAGACCGCACACCACACGAAGGAGCCTCGGATGGAGGAGCATATTTCAGTTTCACTGTGCGACGAAGGGGCAGAAGCCTGTCATACTGACTGCAGAGGTATATGATTATCTTTGTTGTTCTTGTCCTGACTTTGAGTTCATTGGGGTCTCTGGCGCGGGGTGATGAGGCGAGCTTGAATCAGGTGTCTGTGGTCACGTGCGATGCAAATTCCCATCGAGGGATCATAGCCTCAATGTCAGCCATGCCCTTCATAGCCACCTGAAAGCTTACACCCTAAACGACCGATCTTACGGCTACATCTTTTTCCGACAATTGAAATCATAGTAGGGACGGCACCATATGTCAAGTGCCCTCTCAATACTCTTTCGTTCATAGAACTAGGGGTCCATTCCTAGGGCCCCTTAAAACAAGGATGCTGTTCTGTCGGCTTTATATTGGCGATTACGTAATAGAATCAACTGCCAAATTTCAGTCTGTCTTGTAAAGCTCGGGGCTTTATCTTACTTTGGAGTCCGGCCCGAGACCCTCAGCCTTTGCTAGGTATCTGATGTACTACTGCAATGAATTTTCACTGGAAAACGAATATGAGAGCCACGTGTCTCTGAGGTCTTCTTCTTGAAAAGGCTAGTGTTCGTCGCAAAACCGTAGACCAGCTTGTCCCGGAGTGAGCGCCGAAAATCGTAGCTACTACCACCACTGGTGTTCCTATACCATTTTACGGGGGTTTAGGGCATGTACGGGCTAGGGTTCGCGCTCAGTGGGTTGCTGGCATCGGTTTAGGGCCTGCTGCTGTTTTCCTGCTGCGATGAAAACGATTAGGCACCACCATACACCCAGGGTCTCGGGGTTTAGGGTCCTACTGGGGCTGAAGGGATTCAGGGCTTAGTGCATTGCAGTCCCTGCTCCAAAAAAAGGGGTCCTACGGGGGAAGGGGGAAGAGGAGGGGTGTAATCTGAGCCTACACATCAACCTGATACCCCAAATGCCGCTGTAGCCTGATACTTCGATCCCCTGGATGTGGAAGAAGGACTGAAGGCCCATGGACAGTTACAGGTAGTCAATCTGGGACTACAGAACACAGCTGAGTTGCAAGTATCTTGTTTGTAACCCTGTTGTAGTACCTGTGAACCTTCAAGTAGACCTTATTGCCTACTGCCCCAGCAGCTCGCCTCAGACCATTACAAAGGCCTCATGGAGGTAATCCAACAAGCCTAAACCCGGCACGAAGAAAAAACGCCTTAAACCCCAAAGTGTGAGGCAGCGCGCCGGCCAATGGCAGCAATCCTCGCTTCCTGCAGCTTTTCCAGGACACGATTGAGGTTGAGGGGTTGCTTCAACGAGTTGTTTTAAGGGTTCCTAAAGTTGTTACTACTGTGACTATAAGGTTATGCAATAAGGTTTGGTGGCTTATAGGTTTAGGCTGTTGGGACTTAGGGATGTTGGGGGATTGTTCTAGATTGAGGTTGCTTGCATTTGTAGGCGTTTGAACACCTCCTTGATGGACTTAGACAGCTTGGAACCCTCTCGAAAGTTGAGGTGAAATCCCGGAGCCAGTTGCCCCTTCCGGATTGCCTGATTGAGGCTGCTCCAAACTGTGCCAGAGAAAACCTTCTGCTGCATTCAAGTGGAAGAGAACGGTAGTTCAAGGGTTCTTCGGAGAGAATGGAGGTCTGCCTCAGGCCCGATGGTTTTCTCATGCCTTGGAGCTTTTCCACCTTTGAGCAAGAATCTTACTTGTGCACACGAGAAAGAGGTTGACAAATCTGCGCAGAACGATTCTCGGGAGATGGTGGAAATACAACTTCTGGGTGATGGGTTGTGTAGTCTGAGTCTTTGCGAGACCTTGAAAAAGGTTCAATTCAATGCCCTTGGCCGTAGCACCTGGCACGGTGTTCAGGTTGAAGAGCGCAGCATTGGCGTGGAAATACGAATTCCTTCCTGCAAGAAGCTGAACTGAGCTACAAGAGCCCGAATACCTAAAATTCTCAAGTCTAAAACAAGTATGTTCATTTAGGTGATGAGTCGTGGGCTGTCTCATGATCATGTTGTGCAGCATTCTTCTTTCCTAAATGCCACTTAACCTATGTGTCTGCTGTCGCTATATCAGATTCAACTTCAGCTCGGACCAGTTGTTGCGAAGCCTGGCCTGGTGCGAGTGCGAGAGATGAAACCAGTCATGGGAGGTCATGGGGCTGAAAACACGCAATTTGTTCCTACAGTCGGCTGGAGACTCTTTTGAATTCCTCTCTGTTTTTCTTGCTTTCTCAGCCGAGTCTCTCGGATCGGCTTGTCTGCTGGAAAAACGATCTGTCGCGCAAGGGTAGTCTTCGGCCATTAGCCCTGAGTTTCATCGACGCAGTTGCATCGTGCAGTGACGCTGTTCGTGATAAGAACGATGGTGTTCGAGCCTCATATGGCACCCGATGAGTTGAAACTGGAACCCGGGCACTGTGGGAATGGCGAACTCGTGTCACCGGCTCTCCCCCAGAACATCTTCCATTTTCTTACAGGCAGTGTCCCGCGACACAGGCACCGCGAGACCTCCAAGCTGCCCACCCGTCTGGAGACTCCAAAGCACCAAAACCGGAACCTAAAGTCCAGAGACTCGAAAAGTCTCGAAAAACCCAATGTCTGTTAAAGTTGTTAAAGCCTCGGGTTACCCAAATCCCAACCCAAAAGTAAGATTCTCTAATCCGGAACCCAGAAAGCGCACCCATCCCCAGATGCCCCATGGGTTTCAAGCTTTAGGCACTCAGGCCAGGGGTTCAGGGATAAGAACGGTGAGGGTTCTGAGGTCATCATGATTCAATGATGTTTAGGTGCTTGCTCCGGTTGTGGGCTTCGGTCGAAAAGTTGCGGGTTTTCAGGTTTTCCCCCAAATCCAAAACACCTGAACTCCATACTGGGTTTAAGCTTCTAGGGTTCAAGGTGCTCGCGGATTCTAGTCCATCCCCTTTGAGTACTACAACCTCCAACGACGAAAGCTTCTGTTGTGATCGGAAGCTTTAGATCAAAAGATGGGCAAACACAGCAACGACGCTTCAAGGATTGTAGGAGTGAGAGACATCTGATAGTCCTGTAATCCCTTTGAAACCCTTATGAAGCATTGTGGAACCCACATGCAGCCTTTCGAACCCGATACACCCCCTACGCTGTTCAGAAGAACTGCATAAGCCTTAAGCGATCATGGTCCAGGAAGTTGTCCGAAGTAAGATGTATGAGCAAGGTTTGATCTTGCAAAAGAGCAGCTTGCGGATGTATGGCCGAGGGTTGGCCAGCCCGGCGTATCGGGTACCACAGGCTCTGAAGCTTAGCCTGAAACTCTGCGACCTGAAGCAAGTTTTGTTAGAGCCGAAATACTCAGTAGGCAGAAGTAGGGGTGAGCAGAGACGACGAAGAGTCGAAATGAAGATTTTCCCGATTTCAGGGTTCTTCCCGGGGGTCCTGGGCAGGACTCTGTGCAAAAGAAGTATCGCCTCTACCGGCTGAAACAGCAGGCTCTGCCGGGGAGGGGTGAATATTGGGGGCCTTATATCAATGCGGGCAGAGTATCACAAGAAGCGCGGAGGAAGAGCATTATCTTTTCAGGCTGCTGTGTCAGGAGTTCGGGGGTAAGTCGAAACCCTGAGCTACCCTGGGGTTGAGGGTTTATGCGAGGCGTTTAGCATTAAGGTAAGTCTTGCCATCATAAGGCACAGCCCCCATATGCAGAGCAAGGTGCAGCATGTGTTGGCCATCCTGGGCCATACTACTGCTGATGATGTAAATCCTGCATTACCTTAAGGACCCTAACCTATGGGAATTATGGTATATTCCTTATTATGGGTAATGCAGGATTAATATCATCAACCGTGCTACGTCTACCCACGGCGCCTCAAGCAGTGTTGATCAGGCAAGACTCCCTAAACCCCTAAACCCAAAACCCCTAAACCCTAAACCCCTAAACCCTAAACCCAAAACCCCTAACCGTCATTGTTCGCCAATGAGCGTCGTCGGACCAGTAACCTCGCCTAGGCTTGCCCGAGTGTGAGTGCTGAAACGCCTAACCGTCATTGTACCCAAAGTCATCCTCGCTTGTGGGCATAGATCCTTAGCCATGCGAGAGGGAAAACAACCCTAAACCCTAAACCCATAAACTTGAGTTTCATCACCTCTGGAGCAAACAACGCCCTCAGCTCTATCCTCGGCCTTCGAATTTTTCGACTCTTCTGCCAGTAGGTTTGAGAGTGAACCCTTACCCTCAAAGGACTCATATCTTAAGGCTTTTGGGCCATACTATATAAGGCTTATGGGGGTAGATTTGAAACCGAAAGCTCCATAATCAAAGCTCCTACATCACAAGACTCCCTGGTTCTTAGCAGGGAATGGGGGTATGGGTTATTGGGACTACTATAGGGGACCTTAGGGGGCTATCATAGGGATGCCTCCCCCATTCCCTACTAAGAGCCAGGGAGAATAAGTCGAGGGGTACTAAAACTTAGTAGCTGAGCAAGTAACCTTTAACCTGTTTGGGCTTATATATCCCTACCATTATTGAAAGGTTAACCTTTTTTGGGCTAGGACACTCTGCCCCTAAGAAAAAGGCGAGCCTAAACCTAAACTCCTGAACCCTAAGCCCACACTTCACCCCATGAGCCACAGGCCCCCTACAGAAAGTACTACCATGACCCTACGAGTCTAGAAGCCTGGTATAAGCAGTAGTCCTTAAACCCCTAAACCCTAAAACCTTAAACCCCAAACCCTAAATCCCTAAACCCTAAAATCTTAAA